TTAGTTGTAGACAGATCAAAAGGAGGATCTAGAAACGAGTACAGCTCAGCTTCGGCCTCATCATCATCGTTGTCGCCAATGTCCCTAGTGTTAGCAGTAGCAGCCTCCCTCCTGCTCAACCCAACTTCCACAGTCTCTTTCCAAGCTTTAAGCTCCTGATAGAAATCAGCAGTGGACAACTCGGAGAGATGCTTGAGCAGTGGATCTAACATCGCCTTCGCGTATGAATATTTTTCAGCTGACGTAAGCACAACTTGTTTGGCACGTTCATCCCGGCGTAGTCGAATATACACAACTTCTCTCTTATCATCTGACGACGTGTGCGACTTCCGTTCCTCAGCTGATTGGTCACTACTGTCCGGCAACCTTATGCGCTTCGGCAACTTTAACTTTGACATGTTCACAATAGGTTGTAGGGCGTTGGCCGCAGAAGTCAGTTCATCCTTGACGTCTAGCGCTTCAAAAGCACTCCAGCGCTCATGGACTGAAATACCAGGTAGTATCTGGAATCCATGGCCCTCGCTCACTACATGCATCAGATGATAGCACGGCAAGTGGTGGCTTGAGTAGAATAGGCACGTGCATGTCCAATCCACGTCGTCGCACTCGTAAACTTGGTGTGAATAATAAACTTTCCATTTCGAAACTGGTTTTTCATGCATGCAAGTTGTTCTTTCCTTCCCATTCACGAATCCCTCCCATTCATTTTTCACTTTCTCCAACATGTACGGTGAAAGCCTCCTTGCCACCGCTCGCAAGAATGAAGGCACAGTCTTCGGCAATCGAGATGATGAATGCTGCTTCTCAATTGCAGATACGATCTGACGCGTAATAATCATCTGGTGCTGGAGTAAGCCCGCCAATGTCTTGTCAATTCTTGTCTTGAGCCCGAGAAGCATCTTCAAGTATTTCCAGTTAGACTCGATCCTGTTAGTGGTCGTATTCCCAGCAGTAAAGTGTTTCCCACGTGTGTAGTTCGACCACATAATGCGACAGGAATGCCAGTTTTTCTTGAAATAGGCGAAGAACGCGCTTTTCCTTGCGGCTCTGCAGTTTTCCTTCAGCGCATAATAGCCGGATTGATACGCGTCCTGCGTTCGACTATCGCAGAGAATAGAATAGTTAGTTATTAGTGTGTAGATATTTTTTCACAGTAAACGTACCAGTAGAGCAACTTCGTCATCAAATCGAGTAAATCTTCTCTATCAGCAACCCTCAGTCGGAATTCTTTACGTTTCACCACCTTTTTCCAGTAGGTTGTAGCATGAAACTGACACAATACAATTTGTGCGTTTGGAAAGGTCTGCTCGAGAACCTGCCATTCCAAGAAATCTTTGTCGATCACCACGCTCTTGACGTCTTTCCATTCCGGATTCTTTTCCTTGAAATATTTCAAGATCGAACTAATCGTGACTGCGTTTCTCGTTCAGGCACATGAAGTCTACTACAGGGAAACCTCTGCCCGTACACGTAGTGACGACCAAACTTCCTACAAAACAAAACAATTATAATCATATTACGGTTGTAATAAGATTCAAAGTCGCGTTAAGGGTTACCGTACAATCAATATGGTTGCTTTAGCATACTCACCCAAATGGTAGCCGAGGTTGTTTGTAGAGTGAGTGAAGTCCATCGTCAAGTTTTCCCCCCACCGATCGAACATCATCTTCTGTACCTTCGTCTGCATGATCACACCACACGTGATATCCAACTGGTCTTGGATGACGAGCACGTCGCTGCCGTCCAGCTGTCGAAGAGCATGAAGCAAGTCCTTCATTCTATCTTGAGCTGAATCTTGGCCCATGATAATTCGGATAAGGTTTCTGGTTTGCTGTGGCGTCACTTTGCAGCCTGTACAACGTTAGATTATCATAATATATACCGATAAGATTGAATAATATCAAAGGCGTCCGAAACAAAGTTACTAACCAATGCGGTCGTTCAGGAAATTGGTGATGTGAGTCGAAGAAACACGTGCATCAGTCAATGTCTTCACACCCTCAAGATTTTGATTGTCGAGTGGCAGCGTAGCTGTTGTCAAGTAACTCGAAGCTTGGGTTTCGCTGTTGGAATGTGAGTGGGTATGGTTCTGAAACAGCAGAAGTTAATAGATATTAGCATCGTAATTACATAGACATAATAATAATCATAACATTAGTGACCAAACCTGGTTCCGAAGCACAATTTCGTAGTGGTTGCCCAAAACGCGACAAACAATTACCGTTAGTCGCGCCGAGCATTTGCAGTACCGCTGCTTGCGATTGAGATGCCCCTTGGACCTCGATTTTTGGGAAACACCGTGAGTGCACCGATAGATCCTTTGCGAGTACTCGAATGTGACAGGTATTTGGTCTTGGTGCGTTCTAAAACCAAATAAAAACACAGCGGAGCTCCGTCAATACTTTTATACAGATAATAACATATTAACACTCATACTTGTTGTATGATTCCGTTCTTTCTGAACTCCGCACGCGAAACTTTAAATTATTCTTCTCCATGTACTCCGTGAACTGCTTTTCGAAATCACGCCACGACGAAATTGTTGTCTTTGGTGCGAACGGAGGGACTACGTTTACAATTTTGTCCCCGTCGTTGTTCATCGAGTCGATCTCTTCAAGATGTTTGCTTCTTCGA